TTGTGACAAGTTATAATTTGTCCTGTCAATGCCTGGAATCCTTATTTATCTCTTTAGCTTGCCTCCTGCTCGCGCCTGTCAGCTAGCAGCCTGCCTAACTCGTTGACTTCCTCACTCATGGCACGGAAATGACAAATGTGCTGTTTTATCCGTACAATTTATTTCATTATTGTTGCCAGCACGAAGCATCACAATCAATCATAAGGAAGTCCAGTTGGCAGGTGTCAATCTTGGTATGTTTTTGTACGTCTCAGTCTATATTTAATCCAATTATAAGGGTCACAGAATAAGTGCCAATCCTCTTGTTACAACTCACATCTTATTTAAGATTTAAAGTTTTTTTTTTAAAAGTCAACTCCATCACTTGGGCTTTTAGGGGCAAGGGAGGGGCTACCTCTGAACTCACCCCCTATCTCTCTCTGTTATCTCACCTCTAGTTTAAATTACACAGCCATCCCTTTTTATTAAAGAATTGCAGGGAATCTCAGCTTTATGAGCATTTGTGTGCAAATGAAGCCTCTCGTTATTTTGCTAAAATAGAAGCAGGCTTAATGATGAGAGATCTTTCCGCTCATTGCCCATTCAAATACAATTGTAGATCGAAGGCGGCCTTGTCAAGTTGAGAAAAAGTGAATTTCTAACATCCAGGACGTGCCTGTCTACTTTCAGCGAATTGCATCCAATCACCCTCAGGGAATTCAGCTAATGTCTCAGTCTCCACCCAGACAAGAGCAAGAAAGAAATCAAACATAGTGCCACGGACTGACATAATATGAAAATGATTAGAACTAAAAGAGAGGCAGGATTCCCTCAAATTGGTTGTAATAGAGATTTTCTCGGTGGGAAAGCAAACTAGAAAGATTTGAACATTTCCCCAAATGTCCAAGAAAACTTTATGGTGGGGGAAGAACTGACAGAAGAGAAAAGGAACTGGATCCCTTTGAGAGCAGGGGATTGGCTGGCAGTGAAATCATAGTATTGTGTATAATTATGCCTTTATACAGTCTTTTAGATCTGGGTGAAGAGATAACAAATATTATCTTCCAAAATATTTCCCTTTTTGATACTCAGATTCATTCAAAACAGTCCTCCCATCTATATTTAAAATAAAAATCGTGCTTAGAAAGCAAGCTTGCCATTGAAAAATAAGGAAATGGAGGGGCTGAAAGAAAAAAGTGCTACATGCACTGCAAATTTAATTCCTAAATTGTACAAAATTATATGGATTTCTGGCTTGTCTGGCTATATGAAGTGATAACACAATATGCACATTATTTTTTCTCACTTCGTTGGGGACTTTGCCCTCTCCCTCCATTAATTTTTATATGGAAAAGTTTTAAGCTTCCTTTTAAATTTGCACTCATTCAGGAATAAATAAAATAGAAGTTAACAGGATACATTATTAACCAGACTTGTAAAATGAAATGAAAATATTGAAGTTGAAAAGTCAGTTCTACTTTCCAGTGATTGCAAGAGAGACCCAATGCCCAATTCAGTGAAAAGACAAATACTAAATCAATTCCCACACATCCTGTAGATCGGGTGGGAGGGGCGCGGCCAATCTGGAGGCTGCATTATTTGCATAAAGTAGTTAACGGGAGGCGGGTGACGTACCTCGGATCAGAACTGCCCGACTCTGCCGCGGTTCAAGCCAGGGGACGATCTAGCTTCCCTCTCTCGATTTCAACCAAGCTTCGCGCTCCAATCCTCTCTAACTCCTTTTCTCTTCCCCTGTCCCCTGGCTCGGGCTCCCCATCGCACCCCCAGCCCTAGCTCGCTCCGCTGGGTTTCCTGGCCGCCGCCTAGGCCGGTGACCAGGAAGCCCTAGCGGCTGCGAGCACACTGTCTGCCGCTGTGCAGCTTCAGCGCTTGGCACTGCCCTAGGTGGCTCAGAATCTCATCCTGGGCTGGACTGAGCGAAGGGTGGTAAGCCCGTTTCTGGCCCTTTACATGCCCCGCACAGGCACAGTCCATCTCACGGTCGCATTTCACATCCCGAGGGGTGCAGAGCGTTAAAGGTGCTCCCCCCACCCCCGCGACCCCCCTCGGGGGCCCCAGTGGTTTCCCAATGCGGCCCAGAGTCTCCCTCGCAAGCGTGGGCATCATGAGAAGACCTGTGAGGGTCGTGGCGGGCCTGGAGGGAGGAACCTCCAGGTCTAAGATAGGAGGGTCTCCAGCATTCTCCTGGGTGCAGAGCGCCTCGGGGATCGAGCTCGCCTAGTCCTCTCAGGGCGGCGCCCCAGGACGCAGGCTGGCTCACGCCCTGCTCTCTGTGCCTGGGGCGGATGAAGAGCGGCTCTGGCGTTGGCCCGGAGCTCGGAAGGACCCGATGGGGCCTCGCCGCCTGCTCCCGGCGCTCCCGCGCGGTCTGAGCGCGCCCTTTATTGACAGGTAGATAAGCCGGCTGGGGCCGTGGCGTTTCCAGCGTCCCAGTCGAGCACCCTGATGGGTTGCAGGGATCTGCTCACGCTTAATGGCCCAAACTCCAAATAAGCAGCCTTCCCCGCGGCCTCCGGCCTGCACAGAGGGAGCACCGTCAGAAACTGGGGGGCTAGCGAGGCCTCCCCGGGTCCATGGCCTACGCTTCCGCCGGATCTTCAAAAGTAGCCACGGGGAGCGGGAGATTTCAGGGCGTCTGCGGCCCGGGTAGGGCCGGATCCTGGAAGGGAACTGGAGATTGACAAGAAAAGAGGTCACGGGAGATAGCTGAGGGTATCAACAGAAAAACGGACTAACGTTCCCTGGGTGCCTCTGCTCTGAGCAGACGTTGGCGACTCAGGACGGCAGTAGGGGGGAGGGGGGGAAATCGCTGGAGCTTAGGGTGGAAGAGTCGACAATTGCCTGGGAGTTTCCTGCAGAGTCTGGGAGCTGGACATAGAGAGGAAGTGGGGGAGGCAGGGATCCTTTGTAAGTTATGTTAGGAATACCCAGCTTAGGTCTGTCACCCAACAAACCCTCATTCTTCTCCCAGCTCTATCATGTCCCCAGATTCTGGATGTGCCAAGAAAAGAACCTTCCAGTCTCACAGGGAGGCTGGCATGGCAGAGTTCTGGAGAATGGGGCAATTAGGCTGGTTTCAGAGCGCCACATCTGGCCAGATGTGCCAGAGTGGGCATGGGACCCTCTTTGCCTCTCCTGCTGGGGTACCATCTGTGCCCCACTCTTGCTCTATCCCAGCAAGGATCCAGGGTCCTCCTCTGGCCTAGAGGTCCCCTCTCTGTGCCTGGACTCATGCCTAGGTTACCAGAGGCAACCTCCCACAAGCTGTCCCAAAGCAATGCCACGCCCCACTGCTTCCCTTCCCTGCCACCTGTCCCATGGCCCCTGGACCTCTGTCACTTCCAAGTTCAAGGTAGAGCCTGGAGGCACAGCTGGGGGGTGGTTTGCTCTTCTGCTTGGTGAAGGATGTCTGGAGAATGATGGCTGTGGTCTAATTCCTCCCCCCCCCCCTCCACACACATACACCCCAGACAACAGGCCCATCTCCACTAAACTGCCTGGCAGTTCTGGGGGTGGAGGAGGGGGGTCAAACTGGCCAACTGGCCACTGGGTTAAAAGTGGAGGCAACCACCATCCCACCACACCCCCAATCTCAGTGGTTTGATCTGCTCCAAGAAGTCTTATCTTTAGAATCCAGGACTTTGCTGTTTTCATCCTCTAGGCCACAAAATCAACAGTTAGCCAGTCCTCCAAGGCAAAGATAAATAAAATTATGTTGTTGTTGTGTTCTTCTCTACACAACTCAGGAGCTTTTCAGCCCAACCCCAGAAGGAGCCAAAGGAAGCACCAGTAGGTGTCTTTGGGGCTCGGCTCTGGAGAACCGAGAGGGCTTGACCAGGACTTGGACCTCATCCTGAAGGGAGCACGGTTCTCTCTCCAGAGTGCCTGTGTGCGCCTAGCTGAGCTGGTGACAAGTAGACGCGAGAGCCAAACTGGGGTTTCTCTCCCTTCTGGAACTCCTCCTGAAAACTATCCCTGACCGAGGCTCCTCTCAACCCCGGCGCGACCTCCTGGTCCCACTGGGAAAGTGTCCTCCACGGACATAAGAGAAGGGAACGGTGTGGACCCGCCTGACTGCGCGGCTATGGGTGCGTGGAGCCGCGCGTTTCGAAGGGACCAGTTTCCTTAGGGTTGATCTGCGCCCTCCGGGTGGGCGGGGCGGGCCGGGGTGCGGGTGGGCTGCCCCCGCCTAGAGCGCAGGAAGACCTCGCTGGGCGAGGCACAGGCCGGGCCCGGCAGAGCAGGGGGAGGCTCCCGCCGGGCCCGAGCGCTAGTCCGCAAGGAGCAGAGCCCAACTCGGGCCGCCGTGACGTCACTCGCGCCGCGCAGCCAATGAGGACGGCGCTGGCAAGGATATTAAGGAAAGTTAGCGTCTGCCGGAGCACCCTCTTTTCTTATCATTGACATTTAAACTCTGGGGCAGGTCCTCGCGTAGAACGCGGCTGTCAGATCTGCCACTTTCCCTCCCGAGCGGTGGTGAGAAGTGTGGGAACCGGCGCCGCCAGGCTCACCTGCCTCCCCGCCCTCCGCTCCCAGGTAACCGCCTGAGCTCCGGCTCCGAGTCCGGTGCCCGGCCCGCGCCGCCTTCTCAGCTGCCCCACGACGGGTGCCCCCATTCCAAGCCCGCCCCCAAGTAGCTCAAGGGCTTGATTTCCTCCCCCCCCCTTTTTTTTATCCCTTTTTGCTTTTTAAATGGAGACATACAAAGATGGAAGGGTGGATTTGAAAAGCGGGGGAGGGAGGGCTGTCTTCTCTTTGCGGGGCGCGCTTTTGTGCCAATGTAGCAAAAGGTTCCAGTCCCTAGAGAGGACTTGCAGTTGGGTGCTGAGCCGCGGGGTGGGGGGCGGGGGGACATAGAGGTCTGCTGTTGTCGTTTGCAGAACCTACTTGCGACCTTGAGAAATGCAGGAGGTGGCACCCAGATACCCCCCCCACCCCCACCCACCCATCCCTCGCCATCGCAGTTCACGACATTCATGCGCTGAGAAGTTCCCCCTAGCTGCTAGAGTTCGTGGCAACACCCGGGCGCGCGCGGCAGGCGAAACGCTGCAAAACTTTCTCGCGGTTGTATGGTGTAGCTGGTCGGACCGAAACAAAGTCTGAGCGCCGGGAGTTCGTTTCTCAGAGAGGAGCGGAGGACGAAAGAATGTGGCCCGCGGAGCTGGGCAGCGCCGAGGGCTCCCAGCGTGTGATTTGAGCTTCACTCGGGGAGACCTAATAATTAGCGATTCTCACTGAGCTAGAACGCGGAATCGGGTTACCGAACGCGCTGCGCTCGCCGCCTCGGTGCGAAGTTAGTGGGGCCTGGGGGAGCCCGGGAGAGCTGAGCCGAGCCCCCTCTTTGGCCCCCCGGCACGGCCGGAGCTGGCTGCCAGAAGTGTCTCGGAACTGGGTCAGGCACGAGAGGCCCCCACCCCACTTCGACTCAGTCATGGTTCGACGGAGCGAAAGTTCCGGGCGTCCAGCCCCAAGAGGCCGGAGACGCCAGGGCAGGCTTGGGCAGGGCCCAGGGGCAACCCGCCCGGAGACCCGGGAGGCCTCTGTGCTAGGCCAGGGCTCGCCCCCCTTTCTCTTGCCTCCTGGCACCCCCTCTCTGCGGAAGGCCTGCGGAAGAGCACCTTGAGAGGACCGTGTATCTTTGACACGTGTGACAGGTGCTGGGGACCCCTGCCCCACTCCCAGGGAAGGGTACCCGGCCCGTGCCACCCTCCCTCGCAGGGGATCCGGGTCCACGAGAGAGAAGCAGCTGCCCGAGCCGGCCGGCCCCGCGCCTTACCTGGGCCGGGCTCCTCTGCGCAGAGGTCCCCGGAGCTGGACGGCGGCGAGCAGGTTGCCCGTTTCGCAGTGGGAAGTGGACCTTCTCCTCCAGTCATAAATCAAACCCCGCCATCCTCGGGCCTCCTCCCTCATTAGAGATGTTTATTGGAGATGATGTTTATTCGGCTGTCACGGCGAGAAAACGCAGTGACATAATTACCTCAGACCAGAGTCAGTGCCCGGCGCCCAGGGCGAAGAGGGGACCTCCTCTGTCGCCTTCTCACTCGCATACCCTCCTGGATCGGAGGGCGCTTGTGGCCGCCTGGTCTTCTCCCCCCACCCCTACCCCGCCCTCGTAAAACCCCCTCTCCTGCCCGACCCTTTCCTATCATATGGATTATTGAATGATTTACCGTGCAGATCTCCCCAGGGCCGGGCGATTGTTTATGAACTTGCTTAGACTTTGAAAAGGAAACCAAGAGAGCCCCACGCCTCTTTGGGGCTGAAGGGGGCAACGGCAAGGGAGCGGGGAGGAAAGTCCCTCTTGCTGGGTAAACTTTCCTCCCCAGAACAAGCCAGGTCTGAGTCCCGGGAGCAGAGCCGGAATACACGCAGGACCGGGACTGGTGGTGGCAGTTGGGGCTTTACTTTTGCTTCTTTTCTTTCCTGGGACGACTCCGCAGCGACCGGGCTCCCGGCTGAGGATTCTTACCAACCCCCCTTACCCCCCCCCCTTTCTCCAAACCGCAGCTCTGGCCTCAGTTTTCCCTCTCGCCTCGTTTGTTAGTCACTGTCTGTGGGACAGAGGTAAGAAGTGATGAAAAGCGCCGAATTGTTCTCTAATTGAAAATACTTTTTTTTTTTTGTGACCGCCGTTGACAAATATCTGGGCGCCAGGCTTTTGATCCCTTGCTGTCGCCTCTGTTCTCCAATCGCTAATAAAACTCGCATTGAATCCTTTAGTGTCTTGATTAACAGGCAGATTAACTCTTACAGGGGTGGGGAACAGCTTGTCCCAATCAATGTCATTTTAAAAGCCCGTCAGGATACACTTAGCTCTGGATCCCTGGCTGCTCTGGGAGCCAGCCGTGACATTTGCTCCCTCTTCTATCCCCAGCCTCAAATTCCTTCCATCTCAGCAAAGTGCCTGGTACCCAGACCAGGTGCCCCACTGCACTCCAGGGCAAACTGCAGGCCTGCATCCTGGTCTTTCAAACGAACAGGATCTGTAGGGAGAATAGACTAAGGGGACCTAGACTTGCTTTTCCTTTGAAGTTGAACTCGCCTGGTGAGGAGGCTGCCTGATGAGGGGTGGGAGAGAGATTGGGACACATTCTGGAGAAGGAAATGGAAAGCAAACTTTCCTAGGAACCCTATTTGCAAAAATTTGGAGAGTGCCACTGATCTCAAGTGGACACCAGGAGTTTTACACCTGATCCCTAGCTAGACAAGACCATATCTGGTTGGGGAAGCAAAGATTCAAGAGAGGTTGCAGGTCCTGGAGGTTGCAGGAATCTCTTAGCTGGGAGACCCAGTAGGACCACGAGTTTGTGGTTTTTGTTTGTTTGTTTGTTTGTTTGTTTGTTTTTAAAAAGCATCCTTCCCAGGGAGAGAGAAAGAGAGAGAGTCACTTGCTTGCTACCTCGGTGCATGAAAGAGGAACCCAAGTCACACAGAGCGCCCTGACACGCTTGCTATTTGGCAGGAGAGTGGAAGGGCGAGGGCACTTGCTAGCCCCCTGGCCAGTGTGGCCACAGCCTGGAAGGACCATCCAGCCACTTCTGGCTGTCCTCCGCTTTCCTGTGCTCTGGTCTCCCTGAGGCTTCCCGGTAACCCAAAAACTGCAGCTTGCTGAAGAAGGAGAGACAGAAGAAGGCCCCGAGTGGCTGAGGCACCCCGACCCCCGGCAGCTGCGGTGGGCAGCTCTCTCCCTTGACAGCAACCGCCACCCCGGGAAACCCACACCGCCGGGGCCTGCAAAGAGAGCAGGAAAGGGACGCAGGTGTCTGCGGAGATTTCCCTCCTGTCTACAAACTCGTCCCCCCAGCCCCGCGCTTTGGCTCGGTGGTGATAAGCAGCCGATCGGAGGTGTCGCGACCTCGGGTTCCGAAGCTCAGAATCGAGGGACAAGTCCCAGGCACTGGGCAGGTCTTCGGCCTGTCACAGCCACCTCTGTACAGGAAAGCTGGTGGTGGGCACCGGTGCGGGCTGGGGGAAGCTGCTTTGCAATCTCACACTTTTGCTGGAGACCGGCGGGCGGCTCCCTGCCGGGAAGGGTGCGCGGCGATCCTCCCGTGGGCCCTCAGCCTCCCCCATCGGGTGGGATGACGGGCGGGGGGCGGGGGGGAAGGGACCCTGCAGAGCCCAGTAAAGAGTTGCCTTCTGCGGGGGAGGTGCGGGGCGGAGGAGAGGGTTTATTATTTTTTTTTGCGGGGGGTGGGGGGAAGGAGGGAGACGGGGAAATGCGAGACCGAAAAGGGAAGGCGCCGAGCCCGGGCTTGGTGGGCAGCGAGTGGGCCTCGGGCCGCGCCGAGTTCCGCGCTGCAAATGGCGACCTTGGTGCGCGCTCGTGGCTGGCGCCCCCTCGGACCCGGCTCCTCACCCAGCCCCCACGCAGCCGTGCCCCCCCCCCCCCAACAGGTACTAAGCGGAAGGTGTGGGGCGCCGGAGGAGATAAAATTGCACCCTTAACCCTGCAGGGAGAGCTCGGAGCCAGCAGGAATTCTCGCGCCCCATCTCTCTCCTTTAAACTTTGCAAACTCTGCCTCCGTCGGGGCTGAGCTTCCCCCTCAAATATCGACAAATTGGAAGCAACCAAGTCCTTTTGGTCGCTGATTTGTTCCGAAGGAAGGGTTTCCAAGAGTCGGTCTCCGAGAGCCCCCACCCCTCACGCGCAATGACGTCAGGGGCATTCGCTCCCCGCTCCTCGCCCCTTAGGATTTTTTTTTTTTTTTTTGCGTGGTTAAAACTTTTCTCCAAAGTTTGCTGAGGGGTGGGGGTGGAAGAAGGATGCAAAGCGCCCGTGCCCTGGGGGGGAAATAGCAACAAGATTACGGGTTGCAGCTTTCTGAGGCAAAGCTTAAGAAGGTGCTAATCCACTCGGTCGCTAATTGTGAGGTTGTAAAAAAATGATATTCGCCTCCACTTCGGACCGTCACTGCCCCCCTCTCCCTCGCTTATGTCCGGTGGACTTGACTTACAGCTTTTTAAATGCACATTAGAAGTAAAAGGAGAGAGAGAGAGAGAGAGAGAGAGAGAGAGAGAGAGAGAGAGAGAGAGAGAGAGAGAGAGAGAGAGGAAAAAGAAAGAGAGAGAGAAAGAACAACAGCTCGCTCTGGTCTGGACCTGGGTCCGCCGCCCCCTTTCCCGGGCTCCTCGGAAAGTCGCGCTCCTACGAAATTGCCACCGGAGGCCGCAGACCCCGGCGCCCGGCGTTATCTCCTCCGCTTTGCCAGGACTTTCTCCCCGTGACGAGTGCTCCTGGGCCTCAGGAAGGGCCGGCCTCACGTCCAGGTCCAAGGTGAGCGGTTTGTGCCACCCCAACCCGGTCTCTAGCTGGGAGGCCTCGGTTCCGCTGCCCGCTTCCTGCTCCCGACACAGCGTGAGAGGCGAAGCCGGCGCGTTGGCCAGAGCAGCCCGGAGCATCCTGGGGGCCCAGTTCCCAGGGGCAGCTTCAGCGCCGCCTGCCAGCCGGGAGTCCAGGGTGCACAGACTTTATTGATGAGCTCTGACTTTCAGCACTTTTCAGAAGTCAAGGGGAGTCAAGTGTAGCCGGTGCTGGCCTTCTTGCCTCAGCTTCTCCAAGTTCATTCTCCTGGGCCAGATACTGGGGTGTGCCCCTTCCCAAACTTTCCCTTTGCCCAGCTCAAGGAGCCTGCACACTCCGAGACATCTCTGGACTGAGCAGGACAAGGCAGCCGCTCCCTCCCCTGTCACCTTAACTGCTGGCACCGAGGGGCGCCTTTGGAGTGTACTGAGGTGTAGCCTAATTGTCCGGCTTTCAACAAATGGACTTCTGGTGTGTGGTCAGAAGAGAAAAGCCATTTACTTACTTTCCTCCACGGTTTTCTGGCAACAGCTGAAGGGGAGCCGCCTCCCGTGGATTGAACAGACCCAGGAGAAGGGGTCGTGGTGCTGAAACCCACACATCACCTACAGAGAACCGGTGTCACACTCGGGTCCATATTCACACCACGGTGTGGCTGCCGAGGAGATGCACGCTCTCGCAGTCTCCCTTCACCCCCGGTCAGCCCCCCACCCCCAGCCCTAGACTCCCCCGCCCGCCCCCTCCTCTTGGGAGCCTGCAAAAGCAGCGGCACTTAGTCAACAAATGGCACGTGGGAGAAGTTGGTGAGTGTTTGGTGAGGACTCTTCAGGGCCTTTCACAAGAACCCTCTGTACACAAAGTAAGTGGCGTGTTTGCTCGGGCCTCTCCAGCCCCGGCTGTGCTCCCTCCCGCTCCGTTGCGCACCGCGGCTTCCGAAAGGAGAAAGGACAGAAGAAAGGGCTGCGGGGGAAACGAGAGGCCTAGGCTCGGGAGTCCGATCGGCCTCAGTGAGTTCCCAGCCCCGTGGCCCTCTTTGGGCCTAGCCTTGCCTCGGCCTCCACCGGATTATTCTTGCGGCGACCCCCTACGGCGCACGCCCCCTTTCCTCGTCTTCTTCCTAGAAGCTAGGTGGCCTCGGGCGCGGTCGCTGCGGGGGCCCTCCGTGCCAGTGCCCAGGCCCAGGACGGGGTGGGTGCGAGAGTGGAGGGCGGCGGGGGCGGGGCTGCAGGCCACGCTGCGCCGGAGTTGGCAAGAAAGGACTGCACATTGCTGCGGAAACTTGTTCCCGCCTGGAACTGGGAGTCCAGTGCCCGGTTTAGGGGGCGGGGGCGGCGGCGCGACCCCCCCTTCCACCCCCCACCCCCCACCATCAACGACTTGCACTCGAACCCTCAGGTTTGCAGGCATCGTGCAAGTCGCACTGACTCCCGGAGCGCTCGGAGCTTAGCGATGTCGGCGAGCGCCAGCTCCAGGGCCTGGGCGCGGGGGGCCCAGCGCCGGGGAGAGGAGCTGGGACCCACCGGCGGAGCCGAAAACAAGTGTATTCATATTCAAACAAACGGACCAATTGCACCAGGCGGGGAGAGGGAGCATCCAATCGGCTGGCGCGAGGCTCCGGCGCTGCTTTGCATAAAGCAATATTTTGTGTGGGAGCGAGCGGTGCATTTGCATGTTGCGGAGTGATTAGTGGGTTTGAAAAGCGAACCGTGGCTCGGCCTCATTTCCCGCTCTGGTTCAGGCGCAGGAGGAAGTGTTTTGCTGGAGGATGATGACAGAGGTCAGGCTTCGCTAATGGGCCAGTGAGGAGCGGTGGAGGCGAGGCCGGGCGCCGGCACACACACATTAACACACTTGAGCCATCACCAATCAGCATAGGTGTGCTGGCTGCAGCCACTTCCCTCACCCACACTCTTTATCTCTCACTCTCCAGCCGCTGACAGCCCATTTTATTGTCAATCTCTGTCTCCTTCCCAGGGATCTGAGAATTGCTCTCACACACCAAACCAGCAGCGTCCGTGGAGAAAACTCTCGCCAGCAACTCCTTTAAAACACCATTTCAAACCGTTGTGGTCTTTAAGCAACTACTACAGCAAAAACAAAAACCAAATCAAAACCCTAACCAAACAAAACTCTTGACAGGAGCTTTCGCGAGAGAGGATGCCTCATAAAGGTGAGTCCGCTTCTTTCTTCTCGCTTCATTTTTATTGCGATATCCAGGCAGGTCTCCCCCCCTTCCACCCCACCCCCCCTTCCTTCTCCCAGATCGCCGGTCCCCTCCCCCACTGCAACGCCGGGAGAGTTGGGCCGGAGAAGTTTCCACGCAGGAGCCCAAACTTTCTACTTCCAGCGAAAGCCCGCGTCGGAGGGCGACTGCCAGCAAGCGGGAGCGGCGCAGGGCTCGGGGGGCGGGCGGCCGGCACCACCGCAGCGACAGCGCCAGCGCGGGCTGAGCTCGCAGGAAGAATCGAGGCTCCCAGCGCAGCCGCCGCCGCGGCTCCTGGCCACCGCGTCGCCAAAAGCTCCCGGAGGGCGGGAGAGGACGCAGCGATGCTCCGGTGCCCCCGGCCCGGGGACGGCCGCTGAGATCAGCCGCCTCGGGCGCTTTGTCCCTGCCTGCGGGCCCAGCGAGTGCGCAGAGAGCGGGCGCGCCGAAGGAGCCGGTTCGCCGCCCGCCCGCCCGCTCGCCCTCCGGCTTTGTGCCGAACTCGGCTCGGGCACGGAAGAGTTCGCAGGCACTCGAGCGCCGAGGGGCACCGTGCCCGCCACCAACGCCAGCAGAGTCGGCGGGCGAGGCAGCTCCACGGCCGCCGCCGGAGGCAGAGAGAAAGAGCGAGTGAGCGCGAGCCGGGGAGGAAGCCACCAGGCCAAGGCGGTCGGACGGAACGCGCGCTCCGAAGCAGCTGAGAGCCGAGAGGGAGAATTGTCAGCTTCCAGCCAGCCCCCAGACTCTTGTCCCCAACTTGAGCGCAGAGCTCGGAACTTGAAAACTCTCTGCTCCCCGGGCTTCTCCCAACCTTCGCCCCAGCTCTGCGGAAGCTGAGGTCTTCTTCTCCCGTCCTTCGGCTCCCAGCGCTCGGTGGGTATTTTTTCTTCTTTATCTCTGACAAAGCTGCATCCGATCCTGGCATTTCAACAAGTTTCGAGGTGAAAAGGTGGAGTGCCTTTAAAATATATATATATATATATCAAAATCAACTGATTTTTTTCCTTTGTGAAACCTGAAAAGAAATTAATATGAAAGCATTGCTCTGCTCATTCCTCTGATCACATCCTCTGCCAGCTAATTAGTCTGAGTAATTTGAGAGCTTTTCGAGATTCTGAGACCCCAGGAGGAAAAGTGTCTTTTCAAAGTTCATAAAGTTGTTGCCTCTTTCCTTGTGCCGATTTTCTCAGTCTCCCCTGCACCATAATAGACCTGAATTTTAGCAAGTGTAATTGGGGGGAAATGGAGTTGAATTTCAAGTGGAATTGCTTTCTTTTTCGAGTGCTAAAACCGGCTCTCCAGTCCGAAGTGATTTCTAGAAAGTTTAAAAACAAAGTGAACTGTGGTTTCTTTTTTTCTCTCATACTCCCCAAAACTCACTAAATCATTTTAGAGGTTTAACTCAAACTTGGGAATGTTTGAGGAAAAGGGTGTGAATGGGGCGGGAGGCAGGAGGGGAGGGGGGAGGTTGGCAGGAGCAGAAAATGAAATGAAAAAGCAAAGAGCTTGAAAGCCTGGTGAGTTTACGGGGAGGGGGGAGAAATAGTAATTGTTGGTGTTGACATTACAGTTTTTATAGCTGGTGACATTTGCAAATGTCTGAAGGCAATTTGATTAGTTGTTATCTTATTTGGCCCTAGAGAGTAAAACTTTGTCATCTTAATTGCTAATTACACTTAGGCTGGGGAACCAGGAGGGCGAAAGTGAGCTCCCCCCTTCGCTCCAGTTCAGGGGATGATTTTGAGAATTAAAGTAATTAGAACAGCAGTATCTGAAATCTAGGGCTTGTGTCAGGGATAGGAGAGAGGCAGTGGTCCAGTGGCTCAGGACTAAGGCCTGGGTGATTGCTAGGTGTCTAGAAAGACCTTCCCAGAGTGGCCTCCCTGAGCCGGTCAGGGCTGTACAAAGCCTGGGGCTGAGCTGGGGGGTTAGCCTCTCCGTGCTGAACTGCTTCCTGCTGTCAGTGTCCCTGGCTTCCCAGATTGCTTCTGCACTAAGTTAACGATTACTTAAGTAATTAGATAGCTTCTTAGTGGAGAGTGGGGTGGGAATGGAACACAACCCTAACTTGAAATACTTCCACCTTCCCAGTTGCTGCGAAAATTCATTGGCTGGGCCTTTCTGGAATCAGCTAGTGAAATCTTTTAATAGCTTCAAGAATGGGTGGCCTGGTATGGGGGCATTCAGTGGTGATTGAGTACAGTGTATGGAGAGGAGTTCGGGAAGTTTTCCCGGTTCAGGGGGAATTCCATTCCCGTACTCCCTGCAAGGACTTTGCAGTTTGAGTCCTACTTAGAAAGTGAGGGCACATTCTCTGGAGGCTGGGATTTCTGTCTATGGGGCTGGGTAATGAGTGAGAGACAGGAGGGACCCCTCAGGAAGGCAACTCATCTAGGGGTAACTTGGTAGCCTTTTGCATTTTGGCATTTACCAGGCCAGATTCAGAAGCTGAAGGGAAAAGTCCTCCTTGTAAGTTTGTTTTTATGGATTTAAACTGCCTCCTGGCTAGTTAATAAATTAAACCATGAATGGCTTGAAGAGAGGGGAAAATATGCTATTGGAATTCTTTGCTTATTGAAGGCAAAATTAATAATCAATTATGATTTGGCAAAGCAGGCCAAAAGGATGACCATTTTAGCATTTTATGAAACAAAAACACAGAGAAAAGATGCTTTGGCTATTTAATTATTTTACCTTTTTTTCTTTTTTGCAAATGTCTTGAATGGGCTCTTTATTGTAGCTCTCTCTTCCCAATTGAGCTCCCCACCGTGCCGTTGTATCTTTTTACAGCCCCTAACAACTCACACCAGTAACACAATTACTTCCAGATATTTATAACAAGAAATTACTTTTCTATACTTCTATACTCCCCCCCTCCCCAACCTACTTTTTAGGAGAATGCTGGGAGGTGGTAGAGAGGGGCACTGTGGAGAGACCTACACTAGGTCAAGACTTTTGAAGCGAGAAGTGTCCCTCTGTTCCCTTTGTGAGTTGGTGGGTTGTTGGTGCGTGTGGTTGGAAGCTGTGTTGCTGGTTAGGGAGACTCGGTTTTGCTCTTTGGGTTTGGGGAGAGCTGGAGAATAGAAGCCATTGTTTGCTGTCTGAAGGCTTTGTCGACCATGCTCACCCCCTCCGGTTCGTACTTTTTAAAGCATTGAGGCGAGGTAGACTGCGTGTGTCACAGTACAGTAAAAGGGGGAAGATCTAAACACCAAAGGAGAAGCTAATCACAATAAGGGGGGTTGGGAGGCTCACCACTTTCAGAAGGGCTAGGAGATGGGCCGAGAAGGGGGGTCTGGCTGGAAAACTTGGAAGGGGAGACTGAGGGATAAAGAGGTAACCAGAGAGTGGTTTTGTGAGAGCCTTGGGGAACTTAGGGGTGGTGAAAGTTCTTAAGGAAGAAGAGAACATGGCTCTGCATGTCTCCCAGTCCAGTGATCCCTGCTTGCACACTCAGGTGTCCTAAAGTTCCAGAGTCCTCTTCCTCTTACCTCTAAACTTTAGGTAGTTGCGTCCCTCCCACCCATTCTCTGCCTCACTTCCTTCTCTTGTTCTCTCCCTTGTCCTTTCTCATTTGCAAAATTGGCATCTTGGCTTGTTGGACCACCTGAACTCCCAAGTCAGTCTAGGGAAGTCACATCCAAAACGTAGACCCTCTGCAGAAGCAACCCCTGAAAAGGTTTGTTCTACTCTGAGATTTAGGGTTTTATGACAGTTTGAGCCCCGCCTGAGAAGCATCCCCTCTCCCCCACCCACAGCGAGTCTCAGAGCGCCATTGGGCCTTATACTTTTGAGCTACAGTGTGATCGACCTTTCTCTCTTGTTTTGTCTTAGGGGGAAGACTTTAACTAGGGGCGCGCAGATGTGTGAGACCCTTTATTGTAGGAGTGGACAGACATCCCAGATCTCAGGCAAGTTATACAGCAGCTGCTTTGCTTTGAGCCCTAAGAGAGCTCAAACAAAAGTTGCATTTCCAAATGCTACTGCACTGTAGTTCAAATGGAAGACCAAAAAAAAAAAAAAGTTAAAATCAAAATAGGGTCATCAACTCTCCAAATTGAAAAAAAAAGAAAATGGGTTCATTATCGAAGGACTTGGGAAAAACCGACTGGGAATATTGGAGTATTTTATTTGTCACCTAAAGGGGTTTGCATGCACTAGAGGGCAGAGGGATGACCAGGCGGCTGGGTGGATCAGTTCTTCCGAAGGGAGGATTCTCAAGTCCTGGGTCCAGGTCTTCTTGGTCCCGTGTGAGGCCTACCTGTCTCAGTGGCGTGGATATTAATGCCTGCATTTCTTGTTCACAGAGCCCCACAGCCGAGCCCCGAGGGATCCCGCGGCCCCCAGCCAGCGCCAGCATGCAGAACAGTAAGTGCTTCTAGTGTGGTTGGGGTTTCGGCTTGGGGACGCTGACCAGCGGCTCCGGGAGGGCCCGGAGGCTTGCAGTGCCTGCGCTGGCCAGGCCTCCGGGCGGGAGGGAAGCCAGCCAGCAGCTTCGGACCTGCTGCAGCTGTGCCCCTCTCAGCGGCCGCAACCCGAGAGGGAGGGACGTTTGTTCTGCTTTACTCCGTCCTGGAAGAACAGGGTCTGGCCCCTTCAGAACAGGCCACTTGAGTTGGCGAAGCTGCGGTAGAGAAACCCCATCCTCCCCCCCCCCCCCCACCAAATCCTGTAACTCACACCCCCTTCCCCGCCCCTGCCCGGGCTCTGACCCCAGAGAGAGGGGCTGAGCTGGGCAGGGCGGGGCGAGGCTTCTCTTGGCTGAACTAGGAGGAGGCCCCTTTGGGCTTAGCTAAGACTCCACCACCCGGGGAAGGGGGGAGGGGACTCCCCTCCCTCAGTCATTCTCAGGGCAACCCCTCCCCTCCCCACCCCGACCGGTGAGCAGGACACCCCCGGCCTTTGGCTGGCTGGATGGGTGGGTGGTGGTAAATTCACACCATGGGGGTGGTTCGTAAATTCACTGGGTGGTTACAGGATTTCCTAGGTGTGGGAAGGCATTGGGATGAGCCCCAAAGTTGGCGGTGCCTAGCCCGCCTTGGACGGCACGAGTGGCCCTAGAATGGGGCCGGCCCTTTGATTCCCGAACTCTTAGGCCTCCCATCCTCCCACTGCCCAAGTCCCTTGGGCCCCCAGCCCACCTTTCATACCGCCCATGGACACGACTGGTATGTGATCAGGCCATTCTGGACCTGGGCCTGGAAACCTAGCAGGTCCAGCGAACCTGGGTGGGGGCAGCACGCGCCTGGACACGGTTTCGGTCTTGGCTATCTTAGAAATGCGCGAAGACCTAAGTCTGGCAGCTTCTCGGCACATTTCAGAAGGGTCGAGCTCCGGGATTTAGGAAACCTCAAGCATAGCCGCCAGCTCCTGGCTTCTGCGGCCGGAGGGCGCGAAGCCCAGGACGAAGCGCAAAGGCGGCTTAGTGGCACCGATGCTGCCAGGCCCCGGGGCTGGGCACGAGCGTCTTTCTCCCTGGCTTGGCCCTCCGGGATGCCGGGTTCTTCCCGCAGGAACTCAGCATTCCGGGGCCTCAGCCTCTAGCCGGCCCGCCGGTGGGCCGGGCCGGGCCAAGAGCGCAGCGCCGAGTGAGTGCTGGCCGCTGCGGCCTGGCTGGCTGGCGGGCCCCGAGGGGCGCGGGGTCGCGGGCCGGCCCGCGGGGCTTTGTGCCGCTCGCTCCCGGGTGCCCGAGGCGCGGAGCATCCAAATTGACACCATATGTTTTCCTATTAGATGCTTCGCGGTCGAATTCTAGGCGCATAATCATCGCCACTGGGCGAGAGCGCCAGCCGTCCCAAGGGAAGGGACACAATGATTGAGGCTTAACCTCTGAAGGGGAACTTCGAGTCGCGCTGCCTCGCTGCCATTTCGATGCTGGCAGAGGCGACGACTCTGACGTCTCCCGGCGCGCGGTGGCGGTGGAGGTGGCGGCCTCGCGAATTTTTTTTTTTTTTTTTGCTATGGGGGTGTGGTGGAGGCTAGGTGGGAGGAGGAAGGTCTAGGCTGGCGCCACCTGGAGCGCCTTGGCTTTTGATGGAGCGGGGATGGAGGACCAGGTTGTGCGTGAAGTTTGCAAACTGTTTCTCAGCGTTTCTCTGAGCTTTGTCTTTCTTGGGGTGTTGGGGTGGGGTGGGGTGGGGGGGCTCGCTTCTTCTCAAGGGGAGACCTCATCTCCTGGGACCATAGATAGGTCTTGCAAGGCAAAGGTAGGTGAAAAGGAAATGCAGGAGCAGGCAGATGCCTGACAAGGCCTGGCTCTGTTGGAGGAAAGGATGTCCCTGCCTTGTCCCCACTTGCGATGGGCCCTGCCAGAGCCCAGATCCCCCAACGCCTGTCACTTCTCATCGAGTTGAGATCTGAACCCCCCTCTCTTTAGCGGGCGCCTCCTCCCCCATCCCCAGCCTCCGGCTACCCTGAAAACGTGGCTCCCCTCGAAGGGTAAACGAGTGCAGTTCAATCTCGTCTGAGTGATCTACAAATAGGGACGGAAAGGGTCGTTTTATCATGGTCCCGTTTGTCGTGACGATGCAATTTCCTGGAGCGGAGCACTGTCACAAAGTGACAAGGCTGCCACAAGCGCCCCGACTGATCTTTTCAATTAGCCTTCCATGCATGATCCGGAGCGACTTCCGCCTATTTCCAGAAATTAAGCTCAAACTTGACGTGCAGCTAGTTTTATTTTAAAGACAAATGTCAGAGAAGCTCATCATATTTTCCCCCCTCTTCTATATTTGGAGCTTATTTATTGCTAAGAAGCTCAGACTCCTGGAGTCAATTTATCAGGAGGCTACAAGGAGAAGCGAGGAGAGGCGAGGAGAGGCGAGAGCTGAGCTGGGTGCCGGCTTCTCCTGCAAGGACTGCTCTAGAGAGCCGGGGCTGCAGGTTGGAGATTTTTTTTTTTTTAAAGGAAGTGGGAATTGGCAGTTGACTTTATTTGTATGCCTGTGGTTTCTGGGGGAGGAAGCTCCAGAGAGTGCTAACTCTTGTAAGATCAGACAATGGGTGAGACTAGGAGATAATAAGATAGAAGGATGGAGGACATTGTAGTCTCTCTCTCTCTCTCTCTCTCTCTCTCTCTCTCTCTCTCTCTCTCTCTCTGTTTCCCCTTAACACCTAACCCTGACTATGGGAGGGCCAAGTTCAGCGGTGTAAGTAAAGGGAGCAACGGCCAGTGCAAATAGACTTCCAGCTCTCAACCCCACTGGGCATATGGGCCACTTTATGGTTGCAACTGCGGGCAAGGGCTCAGACCTTCATGCCTGCAGTAGAGGTGTTGAAACCCCGGTTGGGCTTCTTGTGGTTTGCTAGCTACAGAATTGGTCCTCTGGTTCTTCTCTACTCAACTCTCTTCTCTTCTCCTATTTAGTTTTCACTTTGAATCCCCTGGTGCTTGTGGGATGCCTCTGGCAGTTTGGGACATGACAACGAACATTTCGGACTCCAGTGCCGAGAGATCTGGGGTTTTGCTAGCACAGTGTCAATGAGGCAGAGACTTTGTAGATTCCACGGGGTTTCTGTGGACCCCACTGTGTGCCGTCGCGTTCAGAGGAGGATCTTCCAGAGGACGTTTTTGATAGCTGATTGTTTGCACCCTGTGGGTTCAGAGGCAGACTGGTGTGTTTTTGAAGAGGGACAGGGGTCTATGGGTATTGCGGGAGTGATGGCCGTATTGAGATGCAGTGTTTCTGCTCATTGCTATGTGGCAGTTTGTATGCTGCTTCTGCAACTTCAGTGGGAAGGAATATGGCTGTGTTTTGGGGCTGGGCTGCCTGGTGCCCTTCATGGCTGTGTGGGTCCTGTTGGAGTTTCCCCACCCACCCACCCATGGCATGGGTTGGCAGGGAGTTGAGGATGCATTGTGGTTGTTTCTCCTCTCTCTCCTTTCTTTTCACCTTCTTCCTCCCCCTCTTCTCTCTTTCCTTTTGCTCTTCCTCCTTTCCCTTCTCTCTCTTCTCCTCTGCTCTGCTCTCCTCTCCCTTTCCTCAGGTCACAGCGGAGTGAACCAGCTCGGTGGTGTCTTTGTCAACGGGCGGCCACTGCCGGACTCCACCCGGCAGAAGATCGTAGAACTAGCTCACAGCGGGGCCCGGCCGTGCGACATTTCCCGAATTCTGCAGGTGATCCTCCCGGGCGCCGCCCCACTCGCCACCCCTGAGGTCCTCCACTCTCAACGCCCTCTCTTCATTTCTTACTGCAAATGCTAATTATGGACCCTCCTCAGTCCCCCACCCCAGTCCTACCCTGCTCCCTGCCTTGCTGTCCCCTTTCCTTCTGCCATCCTTCCCTTTTTCTCTCAACTTGGGTCAGTGACATAAGCTAACTCATCTGCTTCAGGGAAAAAATGTGTGAGAATTTAATAAATAACACCTTTCTTTTTTCATTTGGTAAAAACATACATTGTTTAACAGTTTATGAACTATAACAAGCTGAGTTATCTAAACCAGCATAATTTTATTCCTTCTCCCTCATCCCATGGTTACCTGAAATATCTGTTTGTGTTCTTCATATTTGTGAAGAATATATATATATATGCTGAGAAAGATCAATGCAATTTATTCCCCCTGCCCACTTAATTCTCATTTACTCAATTGGGCATATTTTTAAAGAAAAAAAATAAGTTAATATTTCCATTTTCTTTTCCCTTTGTTCATGAAACTATAACCTTTAAGCAAGGTTAGCACAAAACAATCTGACTTCGTTTTGATGCATCTTCAGGCAGTGTTTAAGAGAACAGTTTTTTAAAGAACAAAAAGAAAACTTAGTATTTTTTAGTTCAAAATGTTTGAAAGTATCACCCTATTTGTAGTTTCTAGGGCTACAAATGTCATTTTAAGAAAGAAAACTCTCTACAGTAAGTTCTCATACCATTGAAGGTATATTTTTGTGTTATAGACCCATGCAGATGCAAAAGTCCAAGTGCTGGACAATCAAAACGTAAGCTTGTCATTGTTTAATGCATACTTAAACAATTTTATTTTTGTCTTGAAATTATTAATAATGTGGTTTTCTGTCCACTTCCCCTATGCAGGTGTCCAACGGATGTGTGAGTAAAATTCTGGGCAGGTATTACGAGACTGGCTCCATCAGACCCAGGGCAATCGGTGGTAGTAAACCGAGAGTAGCGACTCCAGAAGTTGTAAGCAAAATAGCCCAGTATAAGCGGGAGTGCCCGTCCATCTTTGCTTGGGAAATCCGAGACAGATTATTGTCCGAGGGGGTCTGTACCAACGATAACATACCAAGTGTAAGTTCACTGAGACCATTCCCCTCCATGACCTAAGCTCCATGCTCTCCTTTTACCATCTTTTACTTTACCTCCCCCTGCTTTCCTCTCTACTGAGGTCTCTCAGTCTCTATTTCCTAGCTGCTGCTTTGAAATCTCCTCGGTACCTGGGGGTGTAGAGAGGAAGTGTGGGGCTTTGTCCACCTCATTTGCATGTTGCAGAGTAGAGGGTGGAGGCACCCTGGGAAAGGCACTTGCTTCGAGAGAGAAAATGAAAATGAATGCCAGATCTCCAAATCTGCCTGCCTGAACCTCTCTCCAGGCATCAAATACCCACTTCTGTCCTAATATTAAAATGAAAGAAAGCTCTAAACCAAGGTTGCGTGTTTGGGGAGGTGGGGTGGGGTAAGTCATTGAACAAATGACTGTGAGTTAGGTGGCCAGAGATACTAAACAATGATAAAAGATCCCCCCTCCCCCACCCCCCCAACTCCAGTCTCTTACTTCTCTGTCCAACTTGAGTTTCTGTGTCCTAAGTGATGACTGGCTTGCTCTCCCACAAGGGCTCTGAAAACTCACCTACAGTCCCAGGATGACTGGGAGCCTTTTAATATGTTAAGAGGGATTCTTTAAGGGGTAGGTGTGCTGAGGTGGGGATTAAAGAAAGAGTGTCCACCTCTTCAGAAGACGCTACCATTTGATTTGATTTTGGTTTGATTTACAGGTGTCATCGATAAACAGAGTTCTTCGCAACCTGGCTAGCGAAAAGCAACAGATGGGCGCAGACGGCATGTATGATAAACTAAGGATGTTGAACGGACAGACAGGAAGCTGGGGCACCCGCCCTGGTTGGTATCCGGGAACATCGGTGCCAGGGCAACCTACGCAAGGTAAAACGCCGTGCACCCATCCCTGAGATTCGCTATATATGCAACTCTTTGCTCATCCTTTTATCTCCCAAACTTCTCCTTTTTCTGATTCCCGTAGTTGGAAATGTAGTGGAGAAGAGTCTTCAAAAGCCTTGAGACATAATGATTTGTGTTGTTTGCAGGTGGTGTTTATTGAACTATCTGGTTGTTCTGGGAATACGAGGCTTGTATGTCAGTACAAGTATGAGCATAATGGTGGGGGGGCGGTGAAGGAGAAGAGATGGGCAGGAGTAGATGTTTATCTGCAAGAGTTAGCTGTGTGGTGCCCTATTCAAATTTGCCATTAAAATGCATAGGGAGTCCCCTTGTAGAAGTGTGACAAGTTAACACACTGACAGACTGCGAGGTAAACATAATTGTATTATTTTGCTTTTTGCTGTAATTGACAAATTATGTGACTATGAGTAGGGTGCTGTTGAGGAGGGGGGCATCTGAGGTGGTGGTCGTCTCCGTAAAATATCCCCACCATTCCCCTTCTCTGTCGGTGGGGGGAGGGTGACTGGCTAGAGAGGTTTGTGGGGGACCCTATAAGCTGGAATTAGGGTTCCCTGAGCTGCTTTCTGGCTGGAGGAGAGATGGACTCTGGGCATACCAGGAGGAGAGAGTAGTGATGGAGGAATGAGGAGCAGGAGGGGGCAGGGTGGGATGGGCTATCTTTACCCTCTCCTCCTCTCTACCCTGAGGTATCTTGCTCAGGGTAGAGTAGGAAACAGTTTCCTCCCAAGATTAATCGGTATTTGTTGTCCTCATGACAAGGAGATAATATGCGGGATAATGGGATGTGGCATCTCACTCTTCAGAGCAAGAAGCAGCCCTGGGGCTCTGGACCCAGGGGCAGCAGTGCGGGACTCAGCCGGGGTTGCCCAGGCACCCCACACTTCTCTTGGACCTGCTTGGGGTGTCCTGCGCCTGCTCTGAGCCAGCTAGATAAGGGAAAAATCGGTAACAGTATGCGAAATATCTGGTACAAAGGATGCTTCTGTCACTCGCAAGAATTTGTTATGGGAACAATCCTGTCGCTCTGTAATTGCTCATTAGAGAACGTTTTGTTTCTCATTAAGGCGACATGAATAAGCGTCTAGTTGAAGGAGACAGCTGTAGAAATGTTCCACAAGAGACCTCTGGACACGATTCGGCACCAATTGCCAATTAGACATGTCAGTTTTAAGAGCAGGAAACAATATAGGACGGACACTGGGAAGATAGGGAGCAAAGCTCCGCTCAGAGGCTCAGAGCCTTTCAGTTCAACCGCTGGTCTAGGACAGACACGCAGGGTCGGGTTCCCTTGGGCGATCTTCCCGCAAGGTCCCCATTCTGTGACTTCCCGGGGTGCAGCCGAAGCACCGAGGAGGGCGCTGTCTCCAGGCCAGGGCCAGCGCGAGCGTCTGTGACGTTCCACCCGCCTCTACCTGACCTTAATAATGGTACACCTGCAGGTGTGTCTGAGGGAAGCCTCAACTTCAGACTGCCGCCCTGCCCGCTCCTCCGTCCCCTGCAATCTGAAGGGGCTGCTTCAAAAATATGGGGTTCAAGAGAGGGGGTGTCTGTGGTACAGAGGCAGAGTGCCAGGGGGGCTGCACCGGAACCTCTCCCTTGGCTCCAGGGCTCACATTAGGTGGGGCCTAGAGGTTGGGCACCCTCCATGCTCCCAGATTCCTGGAGCGGTAGCTTTGCCAATCGTACCGTTTCCTCACAAATGGGGAGTCAAGATTAGGGCCACCTGGTAGGAGAGAGTGTCAGCGCCAGACTCAGACCCAGTAGTTCAGGTAAGGGCGGGAGGTGGCGCTAGTTTGGGAGCTTTTAACTTTTAGGTTTAGGATTGGTAGACATTCTGGGCTCATTAAGTGCCAATTTACACCCCTCACCCAAAAAAGAGCCACCCCTCTCTTGTGCATTTGTTCAGGGGTTTCCTATCGCATGGGGAGGACAAGCAAGCTTCCAGCCCAGTGAACAGAGGCCCAGGGGAGGCGGCTATAGCAGGGCAGGGGTTGGTGACTGGGAATCCGCAGGCCTTTGGCACTAAGAAATCCCCCTCCCTCCTCCGACCTTCATTTCTTGCCCAGAAAGCTTTATTTTGGGGGGTGGGGGTGTCTTAAAGAGTCCATTACTCGAAAAGCATAAGGCGAGGTTAGGTCTCAGAGGGAGACAAATATGGTTTCCATCTGATCAATGCCACGCGGCAGTGAATAAAATCGTGGTGACGTGAGCTCACAATCACAGGAGACAACTCTATCCAGCCCCAATTCTCCAGCGATTTGGTGGTTTTAGGGATCACGGAGACACTTTTCTTGTCTCCTCCCGCCCTCCCCCCTCCCCAATAATACCCTGGCCCTCTATAGGATTTAGGCCGTCTCTTTTTCAACAGATGCTACAATGTTTTGATCCGCGCTCCAGAGCTGAAAAGGTGCCGCAACCGGGTTGCTATCTTTTCTTGCTTGTTTTCCGCCTCACTGATTAAGACACTAAGAAACTAAGGAATGATTTTATTTCCCAGCGTTTTTTTTTCCCTCTACCCCCAACCCCCCCACCCCCACCCCGCGCAGCCACCCCCCACTCCCCCTTCTCCTTCTTCCAGGAAACAAATCCTATCCCCAGCGTCAGATGGTGCTGGGGCTGGGATAATGGGAGGCGCGTTCACTCGCCTTCTCACGGATTAGGCTGGAAGGTGCTCCGCGCCCATTGAAGGCCCCTTCTTTGCTCCACTTGCTCGCTCGAGGGCGCCTTTTAAAGAAGATATCTTAATTGTCTGCCACTTAAGTTTATCATGGGGGGAATTTGAGATCCAATTTTTATTTTTTTATTTGGTTAAAAGCTCCAACGGTAGAATGTAAATCCACTAAGAAAATAATAATAAAAAAGGGGGGGGGGTTTGCCCAGTCTAAGGATGAGGGGGTGCTCTTTCTGTCACCGGCTGGTTGCAGACAGTTGTTCCTTCTAAAGCAGCAAACACACTTCCAACTCTCTGCAGGGACCTGATGGGGGCGGGGTGGGTAACACAGCAGCTTGGAGGTGCAGCTTCTCACCAGCTTCCTCTTAGTCCACTCTTCCCTCTCATCTCCCACCCCAAGGGTTTAAAAATCTTGAGGTCAAACCTCCTCATCCAGGTTCCAACCCAATTTACCGGCCCTGAGATGTCAGTTCTCAAGTCAGTGGAACCTGCAGGGGGGTGACATGGTGGGGGTGGGGAGAGAGAGAGAGGAGGCGGAATGAATAAGGGAGAGCAAATCTCCACGTTTTTAAAGTTAAGAAAATGTCAAAGAAGCAAACAAGAGCAGATAATACTAAGGGGGTGGGGTGGGTGGGGCAGGGGAATGTCTTCTGAGAACACCCAAGCAGTATTGTTGAATGGGTTGAGTCGAAAGTGCCAGAAAAGGGAGGGGGGGTGGGACCCTTGAAGGGCCCTGCGTGACCACTCCCGCTGACCACTGGACTGAGATGCATTGATGCACTGTGTGCGCTGGAAATCAAGGCATTCTGATGCGCACGAATTGTTGTTCGTGTTTAAAGAGATAACTGACCTTGTCTTTTAAATTGGCCTGGTCTTGTCTTTTAAATTGGCCTAAAAAGGGGATTTCTCAAGTATTCCAGGAATCAGAAATAAGGGAGCTTGGGTGGATGGGGATTCTTCATCCTCCCTTCCCCCCTCCACACCCAATCTCTGACGATCACTTTGAAAAATCACCTAGAAAACTGGTAGCAGTAAATTAGCATAGACACTTATGCCAACTTACATAAATTGAGGTGTTTTCTCCTCGGCTTAGTAACTACCCTTCTCTCCCCATCCTATGTGGCTATATAGCAGGACAACACAGGGTGGAGCCACAGCCTACAACACCTCTCCATTATCTTGCTTCTCTCCCCCACCTCCCAAAACTTCTTCCATCCTTTTGTTCAACTTGCTTCCCTCCATTCTCTTCTGTCCTTCTACCTCTCTGATCTTTGTCTTCTGGAAGCCCTATTTCCCTCTGTACCTCTCCCCTCCTCAACTCTCCTGTTCCTCATGAGCCCCCACTCTCCCTCCCAGTGTCTCTACCCCTCTTGTCCTCTTCCCCCTCCCTCATCCATGACCGCCCCTTCCCCCCATTCTGGCCCCCCATCTACCCTCATCCTCCCAGCCAAGCGCCCTAAATAGCATTGAGGCGCCTGCTCTTCGGACAGTGATTAATGAGAGCAGAGCAAAGGGGTTAACACACTTCACTGAAAAGTCTGTTGACTGGGCTTCTTGTAACACAATGTGGCCCGCTGCACGCCTCAAGAGAATCCTTTTGTTGTCCGCGCTCATTGTGGCCTCAAAATTCTGCCCACGAAAGTTTGCCAACGCTCCTGCCCCAGGAGTTTAATAGTTTCCCTTACTCACGGGGCATTGTGCAGCCCTGAAAAGCAGCCCCTCGCTATTCAAGTGTTGGTGGTCATCTCAATAGATCTCCAAGGGCCCATATGGTGGCCAGTGCTGATGAATCCGCCTGTTTAAATGGGGAAGAAAGTTGGGGTTTTAAAACATTTCAAAGTTCCTGAAAAGATCCCACTAGATCCTGTCACAATCCCCCGAACTCTTTGAAGGCATTGCCTATTGTCTCCTGGTTATAAATGATATTCCTGGCCAAGTCGATTCCCACCAAGGCGCCCCTAGAGGCCCCTTCCCCCACCAAGTGGCCAAGTTTCTAGTATGGAGGTGTGTGTGTGTATGGGGGGGAACAGACAGCCCCTGTTGGTGTCCCTCGGGGTTTCTGGATCCAAGACCCTGCTCGGTGGTCCTGGAGACCCAGTCACATCGAATTTTTCCCTTCAGCGGGGCTTTGGACTCCCAAGCCGGGCACAAGACTCAGCCGGCGAGCCCAAGAGCACATCCTGCCCTCCATGCAGCCAAGGAAAACAATAAAACTTTCCCCTGTTTAATGATAGAAATTACATTAAAAGTGGTGGAAATGCCCTAATTAAAAATGTACCACTTCAATGATATGCCAAGGATTCAGCTGCACCAGAGCATATTTAGCTAGTTAGTGAACTCTCTACTATTTCTTTTTTAAAATTACACGTTAAAAATTTAAAAGAAATCTTACTTTTCTCTGGTGCAACACATTACAAAGAATGGACAGTCCTTTTATCTAAATATAAAATTCCATTTTCAGCAATTATAGCCTGTTCTTGGTGATGATATAATTACAGCTGTGCTCGTAATAGGTGTCAAGGCAAAGCGCACTCATACAATAGTTGAATCAAACTGCAGAACAATGCGAGCACTTCTAAATTCACAACCTTTAAAATGAAATTGACTGTGCAGAATTCAAATAAAAACTAGATAAATATTTTTTTAAAAAGATTACAAGCTTGGTTTGGTTTCTTAATAGCATTTTCTACAAACCTATCAACATCTAATTGATTAGATAGGAATTACTGATTATAGATCAGCTGAAATCTTGAACATCACTCTTCTATTTCCCCAACACAGCCATAGGTAAATAAATTCTGTACGGAAAGAAAACTGCATGAGGCACTGGGGAGTGAAGGTTAGTTAATAAACATTTTATTGGAAACTTCACAGGTGCTTTTGTCAAAGAACTTCCATTTGTGCCTGTATTATACAATTTCATCTTGATAAAAACAAATGGTGATCAGGTGATACTTCACAAATGCTTTTTATTAAAGGAAGGTCAACACTTAGTTACTTAGGAAATGTTTTGGCTAGACTGTCAGAACGTATAGATCTTTTGGATCTTATGGCTATATCTAATCCCTTTGGATGCTCCAAGTTGTTCCAAATTTCTTTCACTGTCCTATTCTTTTTGTTCCAGATGGCTGCCAGCAACAGGAAGGAGGGGGGGAGAATACCAACTCCATCAGTTCCAACGGGGAAGATTCAGACGAGGCCCAAATGCGACTTCAGCTGAAGCGGAAGCTGCAAAGAAATAGAACATCCTTTACCCAAGAGCAAATTGAGGCCCTGGAGAAAGGTGATGGAGTTTTTCAAAGTAGAGAAGCAGTAAATCAAAGTAAATGCCACATCTTCAGTACAAAGAGCTAAATTTGGCCAGGGTCCTTTGCTTAGAGGGCTGAAAGGTTTTTTCTTTCTTTCTTTTTCCTTTTTTTTTCTTTTCTGGGCATATTTTCAGTTGGTGTGTGTTTTATTTCTTCTTTTTATATACCTGTAATTCAAAGACTGAAAGTCTGACTTCTCATAAGAGGAAAACCCCCCCATCTGTTTGCTTAATTCAGGTCACAGAAGGTCCTCAAATGTCATTCCACTGAAGAATTAGCTGGGTTGTGGTGGACAGTTCATCTGGATTCAGTCCGTGTGAATAGCAGATCTTTACAGGGAATTGGTTGGAGTGGGGAGGTGGGAACTAGCTTGATCTTGGTCTTGGATGATAATATTTTGTGTAGTTCTGGTACATGTAGAAACACTATTTATTCTTTCAGAGTTTGAGAGAACCCATTATCCAGATGTGTTTGCCCGCGAAAGACTAGCGGCCAAAATAGATCTACCAGAAGCAAGAATACAGGTATTCAGGCACTGTATGATTTCATGTCTTGTGCTTCAAATGATTGGTCTAGAAAGAGCTAAAGACAAAGGTGCTTCCAAGGAACACTGTACAAAAAGTAGCTGGTTCAGTCTGCTAAAATATTTTTTTGTGTGAGTGCACTTTTGTGTGTGTATGTTAGCGATAATAGTAGTAGTAATGTGTGTGTGTGTGTGTGTGTGTATGTGTGTGTGTGTGCGCGCGCGCGCGTGTGTGTGTGTGTGTGTGGGATAGTGGATGTACCAGGGTGGTAGGTTGGGATTGAGGACAGGGCTAACCTGTCCCATCTGATTTCTAGGTATGGTTTTCTAATCGAAGGGCCAAATGGAGAAGAGAAGAAAAACTAAGGAATCAGAGAAGACAGGCCAGCAACACACCTAGTCATATTCCTATCAGCAGTAGTTTTAGCACCAGTGTCTACCAGCCAATCCCACAGCCTACCACACCAGGTACTTTGTAGTATTAATCCGATGAGAAAAAAAGTGTTGAACCTGTTTTCCCTTGATTCTGATACTCACTACACCTGTCTGTCACCCTCTTCTCCTCCAGTTTCCTCCTTCACCTCTGGTTCCATGTTGGGCCGAACAGACACAGCCCTCACAAACACGTACAGTGCTCTGCCACCCATGCCCAGCTTCACCATGGCAAATAACCTGCCTATGCAAGTAAGTGAGGCTGCTGGTAGCTGTCTGCTCCGTGGGTGCTGCAGGAGGAGCAGTGAGGAAGGGTGGGAGATTGCAGACTTCATTGCCTTGTGTGCACCCTTGGAAGTCATTCTTGTTGCAGTGATTGGCTGGGCCAGTCAAATCTGAGGTGAAAACAGTCAACAGTGTTTTAGTTGATTGACTGATTGATTGATTCATGTCCTTAAAACACACACACACACACACACACAAAAACCCTCACCTGATGTTCAGTCAAATTTATCCACATTTTGCCCACAGAGATTGTTAGTTTGATTGTGTTAGATGGGGTTGGGGTAAATTTTGGGTACCAGTGTAATACACGCCTAATGCTTGGAGATAATATGCTATGTAGTCAATTGTAAGGGGTTAGTAAACATAAATATGGGTTTATTTTAATTTGTTCATATGAATGAACATCTAATCTGTATATGCATTTTGAACATTATGGGATAAACAAGTGATGAATGAAAAAAGATTGGAAATGGGATTCATATTTACAAAATGGGATATGCTTAATATAGAGGAAAAAATTTTTTTCCTGTATCTGACAATAAAAAAGCAAAGATGGTATTTGCTCAAAATTTAGTGTCTCTTTGCCATAAATCATGTGAAGAGTTTATGACCTTTTCATTGCCTGGAAATGTTGATGCTGTTTTCATGGTATGCTCTAGGACTCATACTATATTAACCCTTCTGATGGAAGCTGTATACAGCAGATGGGGTAGATCAGAACTTAAGAGCTAGATAATTTTTGATGGGGAGAATGGTCTTTTTTGCGGGGGGGGTTCTTCTCCAGTTGCTATCTCAGGACTGGTGTTTGTATAACAATTAGAGCTGCCCACGTGGGGTGAGATTGGCCAGCATGAGTCCCTTCTGGAAGCAGATCTAGGGTTGCACATATTCTTTCTTCTCTGCTGAGCATTTTTGGTTAGATTTCTAACCCAAATGATAGCAAAACAAATACTTCACAGTCTTCAGATTAAAACAGGAGTGGCTAGATAAGTAACTTCAGTAAGTTTATTTTTATTGCATCTGGATGTTAGTGGCCGTGTTAGTGCAATGGGTGCAAATTAGTGAATTAACGGTGTATTAGTTGTTACAACTGCCTTGGAACTTTCCAGAAGTCAGACTGCTTTGAGGAAGTGACTTTAGTAATCAGAATCAAATGCCTGCTTACCTCTTGCGTGTGTGTGTGTGTGTGTGTGTGTGTGTGTGTGTGTGTGTTGGGTAGAGGGAGGAGCGCTGTACTCAGGAGTATTCAGGGCTTACTCCTTGACTCTGTGCTCAGGGATCAGGGATCACTCCTGGCTCGGTGTTTAGGGAACCATCTGAGCTGACATCAAACCCAGGTTGGCCACGTGCAAAGCAAGTACCCTACCATCTCTACTGTCGCTCTGATCTGCTGCTTGCCTTTTAAACCTAATGTTACAGTGGTCTTCTGCCTCTAGGAAGGCCAGTGAGGGTCTGGTCCAGTTTTCTAAATTGAAACACATGCCTCACATATGCCCAACCTGGGTTTGGTTCCTGGCACCACATGTTCTTGCAAAATTGCCAGGGACAACCCTGGATGTCCTCTGCTCCTCTGGGGGTGGCCTGGGTATCTCAGTACCATAATGCCAGAGCAGCATTGCAAACCCAGACCCTTGCATGGAATTGTCAGCTTAGTTTGCTGAGAAACACCAGTTGGTCCTCCGGGTCTCCTATGCACTGCTTAGCAGCTCTTCTCCCCTGCAAAAAAATATACTCACTAAACACAAAGAAAATCAAAACTATTAGTCATTCAAGTACTCAGACTACTCTCTGAGATTCAGACTTAGTAGGTGCTGGCTTTTCTATTCACCAATTCATTCTCTGATCAAGAGTTTTGTGAAAGGTTGGAGCCTTCCTGATCCTTCTACTGTGTCACTCTCTCTAAAAATATGGATTTGGAATGTTCACCACTTCTCTATAGGAGCAGGGCTATACCATAGTACTAATACAGCCTTTGTTTCCAACATTAGACCTCTATGAACTCATGCATCCCCAGTTCAATGACCTAGCCTGAGAGCTCATGAAGGGCTTTGTTCTAGTCCCTTGAATTTCTTGTTAAATTAGGAGAAAGGCTGATCTTAACTCCATATTTCCAAGTACTTAGGGAGAGCCACACAACTTTATGGATAACATCAATCCTTGGGCTTATGGGGTTTGTAAGAGGGTTACAGCTTTAGGATGGATTCGGACCACTTTAAGCTGAGCTCATTATAGATCTGCCTTTTCAAAGAACCTTGAATCACATGAGTCCAAGGTCCTTAAGCCAAATTAATTTTTTTAGTGGTGCTGGGTAAGGATACATTTGTTCTCAGTGGTGGTTGAAGGACCATGTGGCACTGATGATCAAATATGGGGCTCCCGAATACCAATTGTATTAACGCCAGCTTTTGGGGCCATGCACCTGGCCTCTTAAAACTAAACTTTTCACACTGTTCTCTGCCCCAAAATTTGAGATATAGATTTGAGGGTCACTGGATGCCCAAAACAAAGGAGGCTTGTATAGGAGGCATGACATGAAAATCCTCATGCTACAGGCTCTCTAGATAGATGTCAAGATGAAAATGAAAAAAAAATTCTATTACTTTTTGGGATAGTAAAAACCATCTAGATGGACAGTTGTCTTAACTTATAGTATTTAAAAAATTTTATATTAAAACTCCACCACCACCCCTTAGACACTCTCCACTATGAACTCATGAGCACTTTAGAAGTGCAGTACATAGGTGGCTGGACTCTTGACAGTGGCCAGTGCAAGGAATGGTCAGACATATAACCTTAGAGCTATCAGACAGATTTCAAGTATTTTCCCTACTAGCATCATTAATGGTCAGATGTGCTGGCAGAGTTCCTGTTGGGAAGGAACCTGGGGGTTTGTTTGTGTGATGTGTTTTTCTCAGTAACCACGTTTGTCTTTCTCCCCTCAGCCTCCAGTCCCCAGTCAGACCTCCTCATACTCCTGCATGCTGCCCACCAGCCCTTCGGTGAATGGGCGGAGTTATGACACCTACACCCCCCCACATATGCAGACACACATGAATAGTCAGCCAATGGGCACCTCGGGCACCACCTCCACAGGTGAGTCACTGCTTCCCACAGGCTGCATTCCAGGGGCTTGCTCACCTTCTTTGGCCAGGTCACACCCTTCTAGTTCAAGAACTTCCTGACTTTTGTGACAGGGCTGCAATCTCTTTGCTGCCTGCTTCTCTGAAAAAGCAAATTCAGTCAAGCTACTTAGCTACTTGACATCTTAGATACAGAACGGAAAAAAACCTTTTTTCCCCCTGAATTTAATCAACCCAGAAGTTATATGTGACAAGGCCTGAGACTATGAAATTTTTATCGGGACACAATTTTTATAGTGCCACAGGGAACTTGTCAGGCTCTGCTGTGCGGGCGGGATACTCTCATTAGTTTACTGGACTTTCCGAGAGGGACAGAGGAATTGAATCCGGGTTGGCCTCATGCAAGGCAAACGCCCTACCTGCTGTGGTATCACTCCAGCCCATGAAATTTTTCAGAAAGATTATTAGCCAGAGCTAACTGGTGAGATGCTTGGGGGCAACACCCTGAGCTGCATGAGGGCACTTATTGGAATACCTCCATTGACTTGTTTCTCAGTGCCTTTCACTGCAACTGAAGAAGTATCATATTGGATCATTGTATTGTGGAAGTTCCAAGCATGTTTTTAATTTTCTTGTAGGTGGGTGTACTTGGGATTCAATAGGTATGTGTAAATAAATATTTTATCTGGTTTCTGAATATTCTACTTTTCTTTCCAATTCTGTTATTTGTTTTGGGGGCCACACCCGACCGTGGTCGGGGGCTGCTCCCAAATCTGTGCTTGGGTATCTCTTCCGTAGTGCCAGACAATGCAGAGGTCAAACCTGGGCCTCTTGCATGCAAAGCATGTGTTCAGCCTTTTGAGCCATCCCTTGAAAGTATATTAAAAATATATATAAATTCAGACTTTGTGCTTGTCTCTTAAGGAAAGATTGACATGTCTATTTTTTCATTCATTTCTAGGACTCATTTCTCCTGGTGTGTCAGTTCCTGTTCAAGTTCCTGGAAGTGAACCTGATATGTCTCAATATTGGCCAAGATTACAGTAAAAGTATTTCAGAAAGGATATATTGTTTCAATTCGGTCAGTGACTCTGGACACAACAGTTGGTCATTCAGGAAGGAAAGAAAAATGACTGTTAGAAGCACTTCAGTTCTGAAATTGTGTCCTGTATTGTACCACTGGGGAATGGACTTGAAACATGGACCTTTGCATACAGAAGGCACGAAATCAGTTGGAACAAATCTTCATTTTGGTATCCAAACTTTTATTCATTTTGGTGTATTATTTGTAAATGGGCATTTGTATGTTATATGAAAAAAAAAGAACAATGTAGACTGGATGGATGTTTGAACTGTGTTGGTCATGAAGTTGTTAAAAAATAAGGAAATCTTGATCAACAATTTGCCATGAATTTAAAGAGTTTTATCACGATATATCAAATACTTCTACCCATCTGTTCATAGTTTATGGACTGATGTTCCAAGTTTGTATCATTCTTTTGCATATAATTAAACCTGGAACAACATGCACTAGATTTTATGTAAGAAATATCTGTTGGTTTTCCAAAGGTTGTTAACAGATGAAGTTTATGTGCAAAAAAAAAGGTAAGATATAAATTCAAGGAAGGAAAAAGTTGATAGCTAAAAGGTAGAGTGTGTCTTCGATATAATCCAATTTGTTTTATGTCAAAATGTAAGTATTTGTCTTCCCTAGAAATCCTCAGAATGATTTCTATAATAAAGTTAATTTCATTTATATTTGACAAGAATACTCTATAGATGTTTTATACACATTTTCATGCAATCATACGTTTCTTTTTTTGGCCAGCAAAAGTTAATTGTTCTTAGATATAGTTGTATTACTGTTCACAGTCCAATCATTATGTGCATCTAGAATTCATTCCTAATCAATTAAAAGTGCTTGCAAGAGTTTTAAACTTAAGTGTTTTGAAGTTGTTCACAAATACATATCAGAATTAACCATTGTTGATTGTAAAAACCATGCCAAAGCCTTTGTATTTCCTTTATTATACTATTTTCTTTTTAACCTAATAGTGTGGTGTTACAAATTTTGTTACCATATTAGAATAACATTCTAAATAATGGCTGATCACACATACTCTATTTGAAATCCTGACAATCCTAAAAGAAACAATTCTTATACATAAACAGAAAACAGAATGCACTCAAAAAACATTCCACTTAAATCCGTGTGCAAATTCGTGTCCACAAAAACCTAGCCCCTATCTACAAAACAGTAATGTTTCTCAGTTAGCTATTTAACTCAAAAGCCCAAAGTCTAGAAATAATTTAAAAATGCAACAAGCTATTAACTAGGAATTGTCTTTTGAATTAAGGCTGGCATTTTCAATCTGGGCAGATTACCATTGTCAGCCTATTTCAACAGTGATTTCACTGAAGTATATTCAAAAGTAGATTTCTTAGACAAGACTCTCTGAAAGCTGTTGCCTTTCTCAAATAGGCCCCTCTCCCTTTTCTGTCTCCCTCCCCTTTTGCACAAGAGGCATCATTTCCCATTGAACCACTACAGCTGTTCCCATTTGAATCTCGCTTTCTGTGGGGTTGTGGATGGTTGGAGGGTGGAGGGGGGATGTTGCATGTCAAGGAATAATGAGCACAGACACATCAACAGACAACAACAAAGCGGACTGTGACTGGCCGGTGGGAGTTAAAGGCCTTCAGTCATTGGCAGCTTAAGCCAAACATTCCCAAATCTATGAAGCAGGGCTCATTGTCGGTCAGTTGTTATTTGTAGTGAAGCACAGATCTGATCATGTTTAAAGTGGCGGCACGCAGGGCAGGAGTGCTTGAGCCCAAGCAAAGGATGGGGAGAAAAATAAGCCTTTGTTGGGTGAAAGAGGCCTGCCTGACACTTTTATTTTTGTCTGTTCTGCCCATCATATAAGTCAACATAGATAAGTTTTCTTTGGCCAACTTTAGTTAAAGGCTGAGAGTCCTGACAGTTCAGAGTAAATGCTTGCATGGCGTGACAAAGACACACTTCACTAAATTATTCTTTGCTCTTTGTGATTTATTAATTTTTAACATCTTCTAAGTCAGATAACCAAGACTGTATAAATTGAGGCCTTAGAAATAACTGAGTGCAATGTCTAGTGAAGGAGTTACTGGTGAACAGAGAATAGATTCATCCCTCAGGCATGTTAGAGATGAATACTTTTATTTCACCCTGACTTGCCGCCCATTTGGAGACACTTCCCTAGGAGTATCAGTTTTTATGTGATACACATCATTTTGTTTCCTGTTGGTCTGCACTGCATGCTTGCACACTTCTGCAGTGACACATGCACATACGTGCACTGCAGTCGCTCATGTGCAGATGTCATTCCTTTCTGACATTCTGCAGCCCACATTCCCTGAGGGACATATGCCCAGGGAACTGTCAGAGAAGGACTGCATGTGAGCATGTGTTGCGGCTGCTGGCAGCCTCCTTTCCTGCAGGAAGCGTTCCTTTCCAATTGGCTATGGCTTGGGCCAGGGTTAGGCAGCCAGCATGGAGAGCGTAGACTTAAAGGAACCAGGAGTTGTGCTCTGGGTGTGTCGAAATGGGGATGGGAGAAGGGGAGTATGGCAGAGCCTAAGGTCTGCATGTGGCCACTTGGAGGCACATGTGTGGGGTGAGGATTGCCAGGCACTGGGGCACAGTTTGATTTATTCTGAAGGAGCTGCTCAGTGGCAGTAGCCCTCTGTCTGGCGGGTTGGACCTTGCCTTCTGCCCTCACCCTTGGGAGATGCACCATTCTGAATGGAACTTCAGGGACACTCCCCACTCGGTGGGGATGCAGGGCCCTGTAGACGCAGGCACTGCTGGAATAATTGATCTGTGTCTATTTGTTTACTGATAGGTATATTTATATATTTATCAACATGAACTCTACAGGGAAGCTTTAATGCTATCCTCTGAGGGGATGGTGACTGTGTATTTGTAGCGTCCACAGTAGAAGCACAACACTGACATACTATGACTTCTCTCCCAATTGGGTTGACTTAGGGAGACCAGGTAAACAGTATCAGAGCTGAATGTGTAAGAGACATTGGCATTCCTCTGAGCAATTAAAAAAAGAAAGATGTTTTAAAAATTACAATGAGTTTCCAGAATATCCCATCTTTCTCCATCCCCAAAAGTTGTGTCACCTGAAGCTTACATGCAAGCAAAAGGCTTTTTCACATAACCATTTCTTCTGACTTAAAAACAATCTTGATGAGGCTTCCTATGATTCACATATGCAATATTATTCTTAGAATCAGCTTTATTCAGTGAATTTTTGTCATCTTAGGGCCTGTATTCAGCATTATTTCTCTTTTGCTCTGGGCCTAATGTTAAAGGGGTTTTCCACCTTTTTTATATTTTACTCACCAAGACCAGAAAGTCTATCTTCCCTTTTCTACTTCTCATGAATAAACCATATCAATTTTTGCCTGAATCCTGAATAACTCAGCTTTAAAGTTCAGAGTGTGAATACTTAGGGTTAGTGTTGCTTAAACTTGATGATGTTGATGGTGACCATTTTTGGAAAGCACTAACAGGGTGATTTAGAAATGACATTCATACTGGGCTTCGACAGATGAATAGGGCCCCTCCATTCTCCTTTTATATGTCTATATGTGTGTCTGCTTCTTTTAAAAAAAAAATGAGAGACGGGGAATGATTGTAAAGGGTTGTTTTCTTTGGAAGATGTTCTATTTCTGTCGAGCCTGAGTATTGCCTATCCTGGAGGTGGAGATTGGGAAAAATGGAAGACAAAGAGGAAAAGGAGACATGGTCTTGGGCTACTAAACAGAAATTTAGAAGGTCTAAGAACGTGAGCACCTGAGCAGACGGCATCAGTCAAAATATTTACATCTGTTGCAAAGAAAGGCAATTCTAGCGTAAGAAATGAATGCCATATAGATCGTGAAGTTTTAGCAAAGCTAGGTCATTTCAAACACTATGCTTGGCATTATTCTTAAGTATTTACATCTTTGAGACAAGATGATAAAGGAAAAAAATCTACTAATAGATTATATTTCATAATGTATTGAAATGGTATCTGCCTACTGTAGCATTATATCAGAGACCAGCTTTTAATGTAGAAAGTGATTAGCATCTGAATGATGTTTCCTGAAGAAAAACATTTTTAGAGTGGGTTTTGAGAGTAAAACAAAAATATACACTCCCCCTGTCTTTACTACTAGTAGTTAATTTTTCACAAAGTCTGTCCTAGTGAATCAGAATAGCAAGTATTTGGACCTGATTTGGGAAAAGCCCAAATACTTTCACTATTCCAAATTCACTTTTACTGAGTTTGAAAAGTTTCTTTCATATTTAAAATAATAATTCAAATATGCACACTCTAATTTTTATAGTATTTATCTATTTACAAAGCATCTATTAACTAATACTGGTTTGTTAATTTTATAGAAATGTTAGGGTAATAAATCAGTGACTTGTTAAGTATTTTTGACAAGCAATTTACATATCTGATGACCTCACATTTCCTTTCCAGAGCTAAACGCTATGCAATTGTTCCGTGGTGTTTGTGTAAAATGAATCACAACACGGTAAGAAAAAGGTTAGGGTTGTTAAAATAATAGCCTGACTAAAATATTCATTTGAATTTGTTCAAATTGTTCGTAATAGTTTTCAAAGGACACAGCAAAGCTTTTGTGGAACATCTGCATATTATTTATTATCTAAGAGCTAAATTGATTTTTTGAAGTTGCTTTACATTTTTAAAACACCTTTACCAAATATAAAAGCCCTTTAATTTTAACTGACAGATCAATTCTGAAACTTTATTTTGAAAAGAAAATGAGGACAAATTTGTGTCTTTAGAATTAAAAGATGTGAAAAAAAAATCAGACATCCTAAAAAAAAAAAATAGACGAAGAAACCTGATTTTTAGTACTAATGAAATAGCAGGAGACAAATAGTTGTCATTTTGATTTTGATCACAAAAAATAAACTGGTAGTGACAGAATATGATGGAGAGATTTGACATCCTGGCAAATCACTGTCATTGATTCAATTATTCTAATTCTGAATAAAAGCTGTATACAGTATGTGTTTATGCTACAGTGGTTTTTTTTTTTTTAAGTGACTGACATTCATCATATTGGTTAGACAGTTTTAAAAACCTAGCCTTTGTTTTCTACAATGTTGTCAAGAACAAATAAAGTATAATTTGTGGTATATTAAAAGCAAATTGCTTAAGATGCTAGTTATAACTGCTGCAAAACAGTCTGCCATATTTGAAAGTGTATTCTGAAATTGAGTTTTTCCTAATGGATGTTAAATAGATTTAAAAATACTGAGATCCTTTGCTTTACTCTACAAGTTACTTTCTAAACTGTAAAATTTTTTATTTACTATGATCAAAAGCTTAAAGAATATGGAGCTCTGATTCAAAAACCTAGTAATTTCTATGAAAACTTACTCAGTTTCTATCAAAACTTACTCAAAAACACTATCGACCCCCCAAAGTCAATTTTCTGTAGTTAGAAATATACATATTAACCAATATTCTTATTTCACAAAGGACTTACCTGTGCAATAGAAGTCCAAGTTACATTTAATTTTCTACTTTGTTTTAGACCTGTGTTCTGTAAACATATCTCATCAAGTTTTAAAACATGTTATCCCCTGCATTCTGGAGTTAACGTGGTTGTCAGTTTGAATTTCAATCTTGAATTATGTCTGTTGACATAATTTCATAGTGCTTACTTCAATTGTGTA